ATTCTTATTTTACCGATTTTATTGGTCGTAAATCGAGCGGATAAAATAATGAGAATAATTTAATTTTCAAAGGATAAATTATTTTAAGTAAGAGCATAACATAAAAAGTAACTACAGTAAACTACAGTTTTCAACTATCACAATTCTTCATATTTTTTCCTTTTGCGAAGTAAAAAGGAAGTATTGCAATCGCGAAATGTTTCAGGCAGCATATTTCAACGAAAATATCCATTTTCACTGCTATCAAATGCAATTAAACTGTATGTTTGCGTGACATCTGTACGTAAGGACTGAATAAAAGACTCTTTCCCCCAAAAAAAAAAAATTATAAAACTGATTTAAAATGAATTCTGAAAAAAATCGTTCGTGGCGTCTGTACGTACGTACGTATCTCGCATTAACTCAAAAACGAGTAGCCTCAGAACGCTGAAATTTTGTATACAGGACTGATATAATATGTAGATGTGCACCTCGTATTTTGGTTTCAATCGGCCGCACTAAACGTATATAAATATATTTATATATATATCCACTCTGTTACCCGGTTCAGTAATCTCAGTTTCTTTACTGTTATATGTTTGTAAATTGTGAATTTTTTGCTTTAAAAATGATGTTGTTTTTATCTTTCGGTTAAAGGTTTTATGTCTTTAGTAAATCTTCATGCAACATTTTTAGAGTTATCAACAGTTTAAAAGTTGTTTAAGTGCGTCTAAGCCTAACTTTTTTTGCGATGGCGGCTATGCTTATTTACATTTGAAACTTGGCAGAAAAACAGATTTGTTGCCAATCTAGAGAAACTAAGCTTCGTAACAAGAAAGATAATTCCTTCATCTGTTATTGCCAATTAAATCATGCTTAATCCATTCTGGAATTTATTCGAAGACATAAGTGTTTAAGACTTACTTATGACTTAGATATTTTGAGTTTTTATGTATTTTTGTTTTGTCGAGAAGTTAGAACTGAATTAATTGAATGAGAAATACTGAATCGTCTGTGAAAAACTGTTTCCTTTTTTTTGCTTAATTTCTTTTATACATCGTTCTAGATTTATTATAGTATTTGAATAGAATATGTGGCAACGATTAGATAATTCTTCAAATTATATAAACTTTGTGCATTCTGAGGTATAATATGAACGAAATATAATGCTGTTAAGTGAACCGAGCGACAGAGTGTCGTTATGGTAAACAAATATAGTGAATTTCAAAGAGTGCATTTACTCTACTGTGGTTTAACGAAGTAGACGCTATAGACGAAGTAGATTTAATTCAATCCAATAAAGTTTAAATGAGATGCAAGGAAAAATGCGTATAATTTAATATTCCGTACAAGGAAGTCATGTGGTGTGCACATCAGATTTAAAAAAAATCTATATTGTTATAGAAATACATAGTAATAACAACTTTATAATGTCTAATTCAGAAGTCAAACAACAAAAATCAGCGTTATACCTACAAAATTGTTTGACTTCTGAATTAGTATTTATTCAGCGTGTTATTGTGTCTTAATTTATAATGTCTAATAAGATATTTTCATTTCTACTTCCCCTATAATATGAAAAAAATCACGCCCATTCTTATTGTTGTCTACAGTGTCTTCCTAATTTCAAATCGTTCAGCTATTGGAACTACTTCTTCTGCGATAGTTTGCAAGTCGTCATCATTCCGTCTTAGCTCGTGCAATGATTTTCAGAACGATGAAGAGCATTAGATATCCCTGTTTCCTTGAAGCATCAATCAGTAAGTTGATAAAAATCAGTACGTGAATGAATTTATATAAAAATTTATAAGAATTCGCTTTCTGAAGGATCTGAAAACGGAGAGATTTACATGAATATTTAAAAATTTTTCAAAACCTTGTTCTAAGGATCTAGGCTGAAAAATGCATGAGTAAATACCGTGATTTAGTTTTCTCAGTATTAGTTACAATCCAAAATTAGTTCAAATAATTTGATTTAATATAACAGATAGTTTGAGGAATTTACTTAATCATGAATAACTTCATCTATTTTTTAGTTTAATTTAATCTATATAAATTCCGTAAGGAAATGTTGTACATCAATAATATTATATATATTTAAACAACAGATGTTCAGAGTAATATATATTGCAGTATACGTCTTCAGAAAAAGTGCTAATAATACCGAAATATTCCTTTGGTATTTGGATATAGAGAATGGAACTCACATATTTTCACTTTTTTTATTGACAGAAAGTATTATCTAAAATAAAATTGCAGCGGCAATCTGATAGTTCAATTTGCTTTTATTTATTGCGGTTGCCAGGAGTTCTCTCCCATTTATCTTAATGGTGTACAGTTTATCAACTGAACAGCTAGTAACTGAAGATCTAGGGTTCAATTCCTAGTGAGAGATGACTGGTGTGTCACAGTCCTTGTTCACAAATAATGTAACGACTCTACTGTGGTGAATGAAATGGTATCTGGCAGACAAGAAACAGTGACCACTTTTATTTTGTTTGTTAAGTTTCTTTACCTTATTCTAAAGCCCTTTCAAAAGCTAGAAAAGCATCGTCCTCGTTTGTCTGTAGTTATCACCATATCTAAATAGCAATTAGAATATCTGAGGATGTATTCCCGGCTTGATGCAGTTTTGATGATTCATGTTTCGTGCTGCAAAACAACAAATAATTTTTAATCTGATATAACCCGGGCTAATATGCTATGGGCAATAATTAACCACAACCTTAATTACACTTGACTCTTTCTCTACTCTCCACTCGTCGTCTACAAGGAATTTAAAATATCATGCTAGTGAATCACTGTAGCGCAGCAGTAAGCACAACCAGTAAGTCAGTGCAAGTTCTCGTGATGGACGGTATAGCGAGAGTACAACTGGAAAGAGGAGAATTGCTTTCTCAAGTATTTCTATCTGAAAACCGTGATATTTAATTTGGTGAAAGAACGAGAAAAGGATCAAAGTTTTGGTATTTACCTGACTGAAGCATAATGAATGCTTTAAAACTACAACACTCAGGGACATCTAGAAAACCTCATTTAAATATTTGCTGTTATTCAAATTTAGTTAACAAAACTTGTTAACACTGGAGAAAATTATGGCAAGATTATGTTGCAGGCACAAATTTTTGAAGTTTTCACATAGAATATTTTTTTTTATTGTGATCTTGTGTCTATAGGCAAACTTGCATGCTTAGAAATTAACAGTAAAGACATGAGAAGCTGCTATAGGACCATTAAGCTGAAACCGACAAGAAAGAACTGGAACACTATCAAAAGCAGCAATAAAAGGCGTTTGTGAAAGAAATGAATTCAGAAGGAAGGGAAGATTGATCTAGTTTTTTGATTCAAGAAATTTGTGCAAAATAGGGTCAAGTGCTAAGTTTCACTAATATCACCTTGGAAAAGCAGTAGCCAACTACAGCAAAAAATTTTCAATAAAAACTAATTTAGGAATATTTTAAAATGTAGAAAACAGCAAATCACATTTGAAAACGAACGAAAGGAGGCTCAGTCACAAGCAGACACAAGTGGCCCCAAGAGACATATAAAAAAAAAAAAAGGCTCCCGAAAGGCAGTGGCTTGATGCTTATAAGAATGGAAGTCGCAGAATGGAATTTCGTCTCTACACAATAATGCATTTCATTTATTTATTTCCTTATCACTTTCCATTTATGCTGGGCATTCTTCTTTGTTCAAGTAGGGTAAAATAAATGACATTTTCATCTATTTTATCTGTTAAATACTATGTTTCTTTTTAATTTTTTACTCTCTTAGATTCAATGATTTCTATTGGTTTTGTGTTATAGACTTGTGCAAAAGTACCGTTCCGAATTTTAAATAAGCAATGATGCATCTCCAGGATGGCATACTTTACTTTGCATAAATGCCTACGGGGAAAATAATATTATGAACATTTCAGATAAGAAGCGACCTTTGGGAACTAATAACGTTCGGAGATCTCACTGTATATTAAATTTTCATGCATATTCGAAAATGAGATAACTCATTTAGTTCATTTTTCAGTGTCGAGTATCGATGAAAATTTAAAACGTTTGAATCATATTTATGAAGGGCTCAGCGGCGGCCGAGCGGTAAAGTCGCTGAATACTTCGGTCCGAGGTTCGAATCCCGCGAACAGGCTGGCTACATGGGCGTTTTCGTGATTTTCCCCATGTGTAACGTGTATACGAGCCAGTTTCCCTTAGAAAGTCCTCCACGAAGGCATCCCTCCCCTTAGGCAGATAGCCCTCGAGGCTTTGCCATAATCACACATACACATACACACATATTTATGGAGAATGCACAAAACTAATTATATCTCCTTTTGGCAATGAATGACTTAAAGTTAATGATTGTTAAATCTCTAGATAATCCAATAAAAATATCAGTTACATATATAGATTTCAAGTATGAATTAAAGAATGCTTTATATTTAATTTATTGAAACACAATTAATGTTTTACTCTTTGGAAGTTTGCTTGTCATATAACATTTCGATATTATATCTGCATAACCATTCCAACTACAACTATAGTACATGCATATTTGACATTTCATTCAAAAACTTCCTTTTTTGTTATCAAAAAGTTTGTAGTTCAAAAATTCCTGGACAAGTATTTACGAAAATAAAGTTTGCAGTCACGTTTCCCCCTTACGAATTGTTAATTAAATATATTTGTATTTAATACAGTTAATTAATAAATTCTGAGTGATTAATTGTTCTTGTAATACAAATTCTGCTAATTTGTAAACTAACTAACCCTACATGATGTATACGTTGAACGATATTCATGTTGCACATTCTGTATGATATAAAGTTAAATTATGTGAATAAGTAAATAGCTATTAATATTACAAAATTATATTAATTATCTTTCTTAATAATAATCTGTGGGTACATTAAAATATATTAATGTTAAAATAATATAAAACACCATCTTAAATATACTATTATACTTAAATATACTTTATGTTAAGTATACTAATTTTTAAGTTAATCGTAAAAATTTATTAGTGCTCACCCAATTTTAATTCATAAATAAACCTGGAAAAAATAAGAAGTTGAAATTTATATTAGATTGCAAAAACATTTTAATATTTTATTATTTTTCAGATAGCCATATATATGACCAATAAGAAAAAGCCAGGTGTTTTTACACAATCAGTTCCGATTACGTGCAGTTGGTTTTAAAACTTTTGTTACTTCGATTGCAGACAACTGATTACGCAACACATTTAAACAACGCAGCTGTGTTTCGCAAAATGAGCTTATGTACGATTATTTTACGTGTCTAAATTTTGTCTGGCACAAGAAGTGTTAGCAAGTGTATTCAAAAATACTTTTACCAAGCTTATTTCATTCGAGTAAACGGGCATATTTAAATATAAATAACTTGCCGACTTAAGATAGAATTATTTGTAATATCCAATAAGAGTTTTTAAATTATAAAACAGTTACGGTATTTTTCTGTTATAAATTGCTCGATATTCCGCAGCATCGGATACTACGATAGTAGAACTTGAAACCATACGTAATAGCACACTTAACAACAAACACTTAGTTTTGAACTTTCAAAAAACTTTTTCCTATGACTGTGCATTAAAATAACAACAATTAAGTTCTGATCATTAAAGCTAAGCAATTAAAACCATTCGTGAATAAAAGTTTAATTGTATAAAACAATTATAGGTATTCATCTGTTTAACGCCTTTCTAATAGGTAAACTTTTTCTTAATGTCTAAAACATCTACGAGATACATTTTAAAATAAATATTTGAAGGGAATATGTAAATCCAATGTTTTGTGTGTTAAATGGGAAAACACTAAATTCACACTTAAGATCTTTCTGGAATGTTTTCCTTTAAAGAACTGCAGTTTTTAATAAAATCTTCGGTAAGGCATTTGATCTATTTACTAAATAATCCACATATCCAAGCTGTTGACTGCTTCAGATACATATTTTACATTTTAAAAACTACACTTTATCCTTGAGTAACAGAAATCTCATAATGACGAACTGCTATTACGCTAGAATTATTTATCGAACTATTTGGGGCGAAGTGACTTTGAATACGCCGTCGTAATTATTTTCAGTAATTTAAAGAAAAACTCAATACCTATAATTATATTAAGCAAAAGTATGATTCTTTTACAAAACAATTATATTTCATTAGTTCATAAAATTGAAAAACAATCAGCATATGTTTGATTAATACTATAAAATTTTGAAACCAGTTTTGATACACATGAAAGGTAGTAAAGAGGAAGATCAAATAACTGTATTTCCAAAACCTGTTCGAACTCAAATGAAAACTGAATATATGCTGTTGAATTTTGAAAAATATTAAAATAAAATTACAATGGTTGTCCATATTTCATAGAAAAATTCTAAAACGAAATTACGGAACCCATTTTATTATTTCTTTGGGCACTTATTAACTTCTGAAGCGTGATAGAAAGTGAAAAGAAGTTCAGAAGTCACAATCTGAAGAGTTCCAAGTTTGGTTTATGTCTAGGAAGTGGTTAGGTCAGATCACTTTGTGGATGTCCTGATTTTACAAATAGTTAGGGACTAGTCTTTTGATAAAGTGATGCCCATTAAAAAGAAGAAAATCTAGTTACACAAATGAATTTAGGATCTCACTTATGTATTTCCGGGAGTTTAAAGAACCATTCCTAATGACATACAGTCTCAGCAGCCAAATGACATCCTTCTACGTGAATTTTTTTCAGTTGCGCCAAGAATAATTCCCGTGGCGAACTTCTTAACTTATAGCAACCTATTTTCCTTTCCTTTTTTTCAATGAAAACGAGCGGAAAAAGGGTCACGTTTATTACTTTCAAATAATTTTAACATTGTGCGTGGACCACATTTGGTGTTATTATCGCTTGTAACGAATATACCAAATTTCAAAGCCCGCCAATATGTAAATTCACGTATATCTTAGGAAATTGTGAATAAAAAACTCAACTTTTTTTCAGGTGTACCTAGAAATACATCTACTTTAAGATGATGTTAAAAATTTTATAGGTTATGTAATAAAAAACATTTTTTCGAAAAATTTATTTTTTCTAAAAAAATATTTAAAAATATCATAAATAAATTACAAAAAAATGTGGGAATTATATTTGGATTAAGCCTAAATTTCGAATTCTGGAAGAAGGAATAAAGAAAGTTTAATAAAGAAAAGAGATATTAATAAAATATATCAAATTCAATGAACATGGAGAAGTTAAAATTTTGAGAGCTAATGTTTCAGAAACTACACGTGCGATTTTTACAAAACTTGACAGTTTGGCATAATTTAAGTCTTAACCGAAATATGGGAAAAATTGGCATGTCCGATTTTCTGTCAAAATACCTATATTAGAGCAATGCTATATATAAATCTAATACATATCCTAAATCGTGCTTTGGAGACATGAAAAACGCAATTTGAATTTCGTAAATCGGCCCAGTAGAACGGGAGATAATAACTGTCTCCCCTATTTTTTGCGCAGTGTACATATATATCTATAGCTATATAATAATGTATACATATGTACTTTATAATGTATATCTATATGTATTGCATAATGTGTAGTACATAGCATAAGATTTTAACTGTCGTGCTCTATAAAGAGATGATTTACAGTTTGTGGTTAGGCTTCGCAATAGCATCTTATCACTTATATCTTATTAAGAACTAGGAAACAAGTTCATCATTTCGCTTAGAATTATTTGTATTTGTACGAAACAGTGTTATAATAATAACAATAGGATTTTTTAAAAGGACAAATTAATTATTTTCCCTTTATTTCTTATTGTAATAGTTTGACTGGTGTGCGTCCAAGAATCTGGAACGGAGTAATGACGTATAACCGAAATAGTACTTATTTGTATGACTTTTTTTTTTTTTTTTTTTTTTGTATTTGAAAAGTATGGCTAAACTTCTTATGAACGTTCATTCTGTTTTGGATACTGAGTCTAGCGCAGCCGCTGCGTCTTGATCTGAAGCTTAGGAATCATTTCCATAAAAAATTAAAATTGCTCATTTTCGAGAAAAATTATCTATTTAAATATATTAAAATAGAATAATCATCAGAATTCTACCTATATTTTTTACAGTTATTAAACTTGTATATAATATAATGAAGTGAATATTATATAATGAAGAATATAATATAATGAGAAAATAATATATATCTAAAATTAATAAAAGAAATTTAAACTTTTAGCCCACATGGACTGTTAGTCTCGAAACGGCATTTTGCGTTGGTTCACTAAGCGGCGTTTCACATTTTATTTTGTTGCCGCCAAATATTATCACTCTGTATCATATTTAAAGAAATTAAATAATGAAGTATCTGCATGAATGCATGTATGTTTCTAACATTGTGTAAAAGCGACGGTTTCCACAGCCAGCAAATTTTGAAGAACGTAATTTCCCACCCGATCATAGGCTTTTCGAAGGACGAATTTGTTTTATTGTTTATTTTATAATGTTGTCTTCTACGGGTTTGTGAATTTGGAGTGTTTGACGATAACACTTTATGAAGAATGAAAACCCAATTTATTAGCCAGTATTACTCAGGACAGCGCCAAAAATACGTTTATAGTTGTTGAAAAACTACGGAAAGCCAGCTGAAACAATCAGCAACACAGCCTTCAGGCTATCAGGCTGTAATAGTGAAGACAGCTTCACGACAAAATACTAAATACAGATTCCAAATCGATCGATTGCTCTCTGAGTTCAACACCCTCAAGATACTCTTTACGATAAAACTCACGATACACTGCTAGTCTGCGTACAAGCAGGGTTTATATAAATTTTGACTTGTCTTCGAGAATATTCGTTCCAGAAAACCGGTAAGAATTCGTTCCACAGAATGTGTTCGCTCCCATTATGGCATGTCGCCGATTATGTCGCAAAATGGGCGATTTCGCCCCAAATCTGGCAACCCTAAACCCGCTTTACGGGGAAGCAGCTGGACATTTCGTAACAATATTTTGTAAAACTTTAAAGAGTTTTTGATTAACAAATTCTACGATTTTAAAGAGAGCAAACAACACTGTACGGAAAAAAAGTATTTTTATCTCCAGCGTGCCAGACTACCTATTGGAAATTTTAAAGCTATGCTGTTTTTAAATAGTGTATATTGCTGTTGGATTTAATTTTATGTGATTTAATTGCGAAGAACATGGTATTTAATAAATAAAAGTAACATCAAAATGTTAAAAAAGTCCCTTTGGCGTAATATAAAGTCTGAAAGCTTTCAATTTTTTTAAAAATTTGTATAATATATCTAATTATTAGATTTTTTACTGTTAATCTCTGATTGGACAACTGATTCATTATAGGTACAAATATATAAATATATGGCTACTTATATCTTTAGCTCGCGTGAATTTAAATGAAAACCTGAGATGAAAACCAAAAACGGAAGCTCAAATGCATATATACTTTTTATAAATAAATGCAAGATTAAAAATATGTATAAATAAATAAATATAGATTCAAGCAAATATAATTTAATGGAATCTTTGATGCTTGCCATTGAATTGTTTTAGTAGTTTTAATAAAACCCTTTTGGATTGGATTGGATTATTTAATTAATGGCAAAGCACACGAGGGTTATCTGCCTAAAAGGAGGGATGCTTTCGTTGAGGACTTTTTAAGGAAACTGGCTCGTATACACGTTACACATGGGGAAAACCACGAAAACGCCCATGCAGGCAGCCCGTTCGCGGGATTCGAACCTCAGACCGAACTACCAGTGTTCAGCGTCTTTACCGCTGAACACTGGTACCGTTCGGCCGCTGGTGGGCTTAAAACCCTTTTGGAACAATACATTTTTAATGAACAAACGTTTACAGGTAATATTTTCGAAACTCTGAGTCAAATCAGACTGGTAAGTCAAATCAAAAATCAAAATCAAACTGGTAGAGATCAATAAGCACTCAAATTTTTTTTTTTTTAAATTTCTGACGTTGCAATTTCGTTACAGAAATTACAGATTTGTTATTAGATTCGTTAAAGAATCGCGGCTTTGGGTTAATAAAGAA